GGTGAACTATCCCTTTAAGTGTCTATCCAAACACAAAAAAATTTTACGTTTGAATACTTACAAATACATGTTGTGAATTACGATGGGTTGCAAGTGCACTAAATGTACATTAAGGTAGGGCATGTGTCATATGCTAGTGTAATTTATCTAGATTTGGTAATCCTGGATTAGTGGAACCCCGAGGGTAAACGTGGGAAAGCACGCACACATACTGGCGAATGTGTCACATCAAACGTTTGGTTCTTTGAGCATGTTTCTTAACTGTCCTGCTAATTTTATGGCTATTAAAGGCATATTAAGCAATGCCATACATAAATATAGATCTTTTGATGCATTGATCTTGCCTTTTAAACATCATAAAGCATGGACTGAGATCCTTCAGTTAAATTTAATGATGGATTTGGGGACACTTGACCTTTAAAGGATTGATGTCGCTGTGTGACTTTCCAAGGCTGCATATAATTGCTTCCACTTTAGGATCTGTCAGCTACACGGAATAATGAGCGAGTTCTCAGTGCAGCTCGGTGTTGTATCGACAACATCAGCATAGCGCTGAGAAACATGGAAAACTACTGCTGTATTATCAGAGGCGTAGCCGTAATTGAGTTATGTAATGCAACAAATTTCCCACGATTTTCACCTTCAGTGAACTGGCATGTTGTGAAACGTCTCCCTTAATAAAATGAGGCGTCTGGATGAAATGACAGGTATAGTGGAGTCCAAAGTCCACAATAAAAGCAGAGATTTGTACTTCTCCATTTAAAGCATTGAAATAATAATAATAATAATGCTATTATTCTAAATATATATTTAAGATTATGCACTATTTCTAGGTCACTAAACAACTAATTTGGGTTCTTTGAACATGTGAACTCATGTGAACTTTGCACAGACGGTCACATTTACTACTTCCATAGAGATCAAGATGCTCTTTGGAACATTATATTATATATATAGAGTGTTATTATTATCATATATTATATACATATCAGAGTGCTGAATTATTTAAATATATTCAATATATATATATATATATATATATATTGAATGGCCATTTTTAAATGTTTAGAAAAGCCAACCAATCCTTGGCAAAATATTTCAGCACTCCATCTGCCAGGAATCACCTCAGGCATGTTTCCCCCTTTAACAATTCACAAAAGCGGCAATTTGCAATGTTTTTTTTCTGTGGGAATGCATTTGTCTATTTTGACAAGCCTCCAGTGGGTGTTGAGACCAACTTTTGCTCAACATGAGAGTGAAGAATCTATGAACATGAGTGTTGCACCGTTAATGCGTGTAATTGCCATTCATCAGTATATCCTTCATTTTGGTGAGATATCAGGCGGTTGTTACAAAATATCCGTCTTTTTAAAGGGGTCATATGATGCTGCTAAAAAGAACATTATTTGGTGTATTTGGTGTAATGAAATGTGTTTATGCCGCGCCGTGTAAACATAAAACCATGTCTGCATTTGTGATCGGAGAAACGACAAACAACAAGCCTACTCTACTCTGCTCAAAACTCGCGTTGTGTCCTCTTTTGGAAGGCCAAACAAAGTAGTTTCGCTTTCACAACGAAAAACACGGCGGCCTAGCGTGAGCGGAAGCCGTGGCTTAGCGTGAGCAGAGGCGGCGGGGTCAAGAACGGTGCGCCCGGCGGATTCGATGAAGGAGCGGCAACCACATGTGACGACCCCGGGCTGGACTCCGCTTCGTCCACGGTGAAAGCCGATCCGGCGATCCA